AAAATAAAAGAAGGATATTTAAGTAACCAAGAAGAGACACTTAACTGGATGAAATATTCTGCATTAGATATCAATGTTAATTAATATAATTATCAAGGGCGTATAATATACAAGGAAAAATTTATAAAAATAGCGAACAGAGCTGGTTTCAACTTGGCATAAGCAGTAATATTCCAACTATTTTATAAAAAATAAATTGATAAAAGTAACGTATAGGCCGAGTCCAAAATTGCCCAAAGTACTTGAACAGACATTTCACCAAAGAGAATATTTAAATGGCCAAAAAGTACATGAAAAGATGTTCAGGCTTGTTAGCCATTGTTGTTGTTTTGTGCCATTGAGTCGATTCTGACTCATAGCGACCCTACAGCACAAAGTAGAACTGCCCCATAGGGTTTCCTAGACTGAAAATCTTTACAGAAGACTGCCAGGTCTTTTCTCCCATGGAGCACCTGGTGGGTTCAAATCTCTGACCTTTCTGTTAGCATTCGAGTGCATAACCATTATCCCTCCAGGACTCCTTCATCAACCATTAACCCAGAACCCACTGCCATCGAGTCGATTCCGACTCACAGCAACCCTACAGGACAGAGCAGAACTGCCCCATAGGGTTTCCAAGGAGTACTTGGTGGATTCGAACTGCCAACTTTTTGTTTAACAGCTGTAGCTCTTAACCACCATGCCACCAGGGTTTCCTCAACAACCATTAAGGAGATGCATATCAAAACTACAATGAGATACCACCTTACCCCACATTAGAATGGCAATGAGGTTGCAGAGAAACTGAAACTCTCATCCATTGCTGTTAGGAATGTAAAATGATATACAAGCACTGTGGAAAATAGTTTGGCAGTTCCTCAAAGAGTTGAATATAGAAATACCACATGACCCAGCAATCCAACTGCAGGTATATACTCAAAAAGAATTGAAAGCAGGAACACAGAAACCTGCACGCCAATGTTCACTGCAGCATTTTTCACAACAGCCAAAAGGTGGAAAGATCATAAACGTCCATCAACAGATAAACTGATAAACAAAATGTGGTATATACATACAATGTAATATAAAAAAAAAAATTCTATTGCCGTCAAGTCGATTCCAATGCAGAGTCAGAATAGTGACCTTATAGGACAGAGTAGAACTGCCCCATAGGGTTTCCAAGGAGCTGCTGGTAGATTCAAACTCCTGACCTTTTGGTTAGCAGCCAAGCTCCTAACTACTGGGCAACCAGGGCTCAGTGTAATAATACTCAGTCATAAAGAGAAATGAAGTTCTGATGCATGCCACAAGATGGATGAACCTTAAAAAATCATGCTGAGTGAAATAAGTCAGCCGCAAAAGGATCTCACTTATATGAAATAAGCAAATATACAGAAACCAAAGGTTATCAGTGGTTACCAGGTGTGGTTTGGGGGAGGGATATTGGGAGTTTTGCTTAGAGAGCATTGAGTTTATGTTAATCATAGTGGAATAATTTGAAAAATGATAGCGGGAATGGTTGCAAAACTTGAAGGATGTGATCAATGTTACTAAATTATACACAAAGAATTGTTGACTTGGTGTATGATTTGTTGTATATATCTTTATCACAATAAAAAATAATGTATAGAGTGAAAAAAGGTAAGATCTCAAAATATTAAGAAAAGTTTACTCTAAATATTGTCATTCAAGATGATTTTTTTTTTTTTTTGGCTTTAACAAAGAGAAATTTATTTCCTCACAGTTAAAGTAGGCTAAAAGTCCAAATTCAGGGCGTCAGCTCCAGGGGAAGGCTTTTTCTCT